CTTTTTCCCCTCCATCAACTTTTCTCTTGATTTTATTTTAATTTGGTATACATTTATTGTACTGAAACATTTTCTAATGAAAATTAAAAAGAAAAATGATATTATAATAAAGGCTCCTGGAGAGCTTCTCAACAAAATAACAGAGTTTTTACAGAAAAACAGAGTTGGAAGGCACTCCAGTGGCCCTCCAGTCCAGCCCCCTGCTCAAGCAGGGGACCCTGTAGCATTCCAGACAAGTGGCTGTCCAGTCCCTTCTTAAAAGGCTCTAGTAATGGAGCATCCACAATCTCTGGAGACAAACTGTTCCACTGGTTAGTTGTTCTTCCCCCCTGCAGAGCAATACAAGCAAAAGACTCATTTCCTAAAACTAGAATCCATTCCACAGAACTTCAAAACCCACAGCTGTGGCACTCTTTGGGATGGAGCCAGCAGTGGCCTTCAAAGGAAAGGGATCTACCAGATCTGAGAACAAACTCTAGCAATCCCAAAGGTGCTTTTTCAGGAGGCAACTGGAGTTTCTTGTTTTTTCTTTTGAAGATGTTTCACTTCTCCTCCAAGGAGCTTCTTCAGCTATGACTGGGTGGTGGGGAATAGAAGGATTTATATTCCTTGCAGATAGCTGGTCATTTGCATCCTTTACTTCATTGAAGCACTTGGAGATTTACCTGTGTCCTCGGGTTCACCTGAGTGGTGGAAATTATTCCTGTAGTCTGAATTTTTTTCTCTGGAAATCCATCCCTACTCCCACATCATTCAAAGAGTGTTCATCCAAAACTGTACAGCTAGAGGTCTGTACAGATTCTTAGACATCCAGGTCATGGTTGTCCCAAAGGTGCTTTTTTCAGGAGGCAACTGGACTTTCCAGTTTTTCTTTGAAGACGTTTCGCTTCTCACCCAAGAAGCTTCTTCAGCTCTGACTGGATGGTGGGGAATGGAAGGATTTATACTCCTTGCAAACAGCAGGTCATTTGCATCATTTTAGAGGGTCCTTGAAGCACTTGGAGGTTTATCTATGTAGAGCTGAAGAAGCTTCTTGGATGAGAAGGTTCAAAAGAAAAAACAAGAAAGTCCAGTTGCCTCCTGAAAATAACACCTTTGGGACAACCATAACCTGGATTGTGGAGAATTTCTACAGACTTAAGTTCTTAACAATCATTGTGAATTAGGCCCTTAAAAATTGCTCATCTAGGGAAGGCAGGTGGCCGAGAACCCCAGTATCCAGGGCTATAAACCTTCGGCCTAACATAGTGTTTTAGAGAAGAGACAGTGCTTGACCAACCAAGGATGTAAATTTACTACACCCACTTTTTCTCAAAGAACTGGACTGGGATTAGCTGAGCATCCTTGAGCTGTAAGTTCTAGACAGCCACTAGATGACAGCAAAGACACACAGAAGACTTGGAACCTGGCTAGTTGTCATCAGATCAGTGTTTCTCAACCTTGGCGACTTTAAGTCCTGTAGACTTCAACTCCCAGAATTCCCGTTGAAGTCCACAGGACTTAAAGTTGCCAAGGTTGAGAAACACTGTTTTAGATCAATTCCCAGGTAGCCTTTTGCACATAAATAGCGACCAGGAGTGAGAAATTAGTATAGGGAGCATTCACATAATCTTTTCCACACTTAAATGGGATGATCTTTCAATGAGACTGAAACTAGCTAATTCCTCCCCTTCCAGCTCTATTCTGATTGATTGACACTTGCTTTCAAACTGCTAGGTTGTCAGCAAAGATGAGATTGAAAAATTTTAGCAAACAGTTCTCTGCCCAGTTGCTGGGTGGGTGTGGTCATGTGGCCGTGGTCTAGTCATCTTCCTGCACCACAGCGGGAAGGGGGGCATTTTCGTCCTCCCCAGGCTTTCCTCGAGTCTCCAGGAGGACAAAAACGCCCCTCCCAAGCTCCTGAGGCCCTCCAGAGGTCAGAAATGGGCCTGTTTCCTGACTTCCAGTACTTCTGGTAGGCCCATTTTTTGCCCTCTCAGAGCCTTCGCGTGGGGCCTGCACTTACCTGGCATCCAAAACAGGCCGTGTGGAGACTCCTGGGAAGGGAGGGGTGGAGTGGGCGGGGTCAGCCAGTCCTTGTAACCAGTTCAGCGAACCAGATTAAAATTAACACCCTGTTCACCTGAACTGGTCCAAACTGGCTGAATCCCACCCCTGGTTGGCAGGAGCTGGGCAAAAATGGGAGCATACCCCAACACATAGATCTCAGGTCTGGAATCTGGGCTGCCAGATTTCCAGATGACAAACCCAACATCTTAACTGCTGAGCCATTGCACTGCCCCTTCATAGAATTCTAAGAATACATCAAAAATAAATCTGATATTGAAGAGAATTTCTGGTTTGGATTGTATATTTTGGCTTGTACCATATCAAAACTTGAGGTTTCTATTAACATAATTTCTTAATATTCTTAATACTTGAAAATACAGATTAAATCGGAATAGGTCTTCATTACTTTGGGTAGAATTTACAGTAACTTTTATCATATTTTTTATGACTACTGCTTTTAATATTTATATATTGATATGATTTTACGTCTGATTTCTTGTTCTTAAAATAATGATCATATTTATTAAATATATTTATTTATATTTATTCTGAACATGCGCAGAAGCCAAAAACAAGATGGCAGTGCCGCCACCAAGAGTACCGGTTTGGGGGCATGACAGGCTGGGTCGCTGCCGGTTCCAGTGACCCAGGCCACTAAGTTACTACCAGTTCAGCTGAACCGGTCTGAACCAGTAGGAACCCACCTCTGACTTCAGGTAATCTTGATTCTATCCCTCTGTTTATGCAGCCTAGAACTGTGTTGGCTTTTTTGGCAGCTGTTGCACATGGATGGCTCCTATTTAAATGGTTGTCCACTGGGACTCCAAGATCCCTCTCACAGTTACTACTGTTGAGCAAGTATCACCTATACTGTACTTGTGCATTNCATTCCTCAAACAGGATTCAGGAACTTGTTTCCTGGAAGCAGCTGCTTGGCTGGCTCCTTTTGTTACTTGCTGGCTGATGAGATGTTGGGAGGGAGGTGGTGAACGAGAGCACTTACTGTGTGCTCTGATGCAACCTTTTCCCTGGGGCTTAGTTCGACTTGAACCGCTCGTTATGGGCATGTCCAGGAGGAGGTGCTGCGCAGCCCAAGGCCAAGAAAGCAGGGTTGTGGTTGGCCTCTCAGAGAAGCCACGGGGGTGGGGGGAGAATCTCAGCTCCTCCTGTGTTGCAGAAAATAACAGGACTTAGATGTCTCGGGATCAAGGAGAAGTTTATTGGCAACCAGGTTCACAAAAGCCAGTCAAAGGCTAGCATGTAACTTCTGAACAACCCTTCTTATGGAAGCACGCATTCTTATACGTTCTCAAAAGCAGTGCAATACGGAAACACTTAACCCACTTCTTATTGGTTATCTTGAGAAAAGAAGCCTTATAAGTAGATACTGTCTTACTTCTCCTTTTGTCTTGGGCCACAGGTAATGGCTACGTGGCTTTGTAAGAACTTTAGCTGAACTCTATGGTTTTGGGCTTTTGACATTTCCTGTTTTTGTACACGTCTTAAAAGCAGGTCTTTATATCTTCTTTCTGCCACATCTCACTTAATTCACATTTTATCCTGCATTACCTGGGCACCATCTCATTGCTGGCTGCTCCTGGGTGAGCAAAGAGAAAGCTTGGGCCAGAAATACTTCTGTTGGGTATCATACCAGAAAAATATAATAAAGGGGACATGTGCTAACAGCAGCTGGAATTATATTTGCACAATATTGGAAGTTTAGAGATCCCTACAGAAGAGAAGAGAATTTAAAAAAAACCCTAGAAAGTGCAGAAATGGATAATTAACATTTGATATTAAAGAAAAGAAAGACACTGAATATATTGAAATATGGAATTTGTTTTATAAATGGCTAACTTAGAAACAGACGTTAGAACTTTCAAAACTATGAGAAGGATTACTTTTATTATGATGGCTTATTACTATATGCTTATTATTAATGTTAATTGGTAATGATAATCAATAGTATTAAAGTTATGATGAGAAATCACTGTTATATGATTACTACTAATGTATATTATTATCATGATGATGACTGTTGCTTAAGTTAATTGTAATCTGCCAACATATTGTTTATATAGACACTGGAATTGTTGCTTGGGAAGCTGAAAAATCCTATTGCTGCAGTGATTCCTCAGGCCAAAGATTTAAAGGATAAAATTTTAATGTTTGCTGAAAGATGGAAGCCACATGGACATAATATAAAAAAGAGAAGTGATTACTTATCACAGAACCACTACATTGCATCATTAAAAAATCCTGGAACATCAGGGAATTGCCTGAGGATTGGAAAAGAGCTGATGTGGTTTCTAACTCCCCCCCCAAAAAAAGACCACCAACAAAATGTGGGGGGGGGGACCCAGGAAACTACAGACCAATCAGCTTAACATCAATATCTGGGAAAATACTGGAAAAGATTATCAAAAACATATTTGCGAACATCTAGAAACAAATAAAGTTATAATCAGAAGCCAGCACGGGTTTCTTAAAAACAGATCAGGCCAAATCAATCTTATTTCATTCTTTGACAAAGTGATTAAATTAGTAGACCAGAGAAATGCTGAGGACATAGTATACTTAGACTTCAGTAAGGCATTCGACACAGTAGACCACAACATACTTCTTGATAAGCTAGAAAAAAATGGAATAGGCAGCATCATCACCAGATGGATTTGTAACTGGTTGACAAACCATACTCAATGAGTAGCCTTTAATAGAGGAAAATAAGCAGTGAGGTACCACAAAGTTCTATCTTAGGCCTGGTACTCTTCAATATCTTCATAAATGATTTAGATGAGGAAATAGAAGTGGAGCTCATCAAATAGACTGATAATACTAAGTTGGCAGGACTAGCGAAGACAAGCTCACCATCCAAAAAGATCTTGACAGACTTGAACAATGCGCCCTATCCAACAAAATGAAATATAATGTGGAGAAAAGCAAAGTTTTACACCTGGGCAGGAAAAACCACAGATACAAGTACAGATTAGGTGAAACCTGGCTCAAAAACAGTCACTGTGACAGGGACCTTGGAGCCCTAGGGGATGATCTCTTCATGATCTCTTGGCCTCGGGCCCGGCACTGGGGGCAGCGGGGGCTCCGAAGCTGCAGAGGGCCTCCTGCTTGCCGAGGGGTAGCGACGCTCGATCCCCGGACAGGGATGGGCAGCACCGGAGTACGGTTACTGCCCGGACGGCCAGGCGGGCAGCGGGGAAGAAGCGCTCCGTTCCGAAACCGCTGCAGGTGCCGGCGGGGCGACAGCGGTTTTTCTTCTCTCCTAACACGGCCTTGGCCGGAGACGCAGCTGGTGGGGCAGCGCTGGAGGAAATGGGGGCCTCTCCCGTCTCCCCGCCAGCTCGGAGCCTGGCAGCAGCTGTAACAAAGTCGCTCCTCCTGGCGGGACGCCCCGCGGCCTCCTTTGAAGTCGGAGGAGAGGCGCGGGGGGGGCGGCGAGGGGGCGAGGCGTCTGGGCTTCCTCCTCCTCCTCCCGCCGCCGCTCCCGGCCTCCGCAGACAGACGGGCAGCCGCGGACAAGCCTGGGGCTGAATCTCGCTGAGGTGGCTGGCAGGATGCCGTCTCCGAGGTAAGCTCGCTCGCCCGCGGCCAACGTGAAAGGAAACGGGGTGGGAAGGGGCTCCGAGAGGGCGTCGAAAGGGCCCCTCCCCGTTGGCTGGCAGGGTGCCGCCTGGCCCGGCACAGGACGCTCTGAGGCGGCGGCGGGGGAGCGGTTACGTAACCCGCGGGCTGGACTCTAGAGGCTCCGGCCGAGCGGCGAGTCAGCGCCCCCCTCCCCCGGGGGGGGGGGAGATCCGGCTGAGCGGGACTGGCTGGCATCACCCTCCACACACACACCCCCACACACACTCCGGCGGTCTACTGCTCAGGCTGAGGAAAGGGGGGGGGGGCTTCTCCTCGGAGGCAGCAAAGCGCCCGGCGGGCGAAGGGTGCATAACCCCCCTTTGCGCCTCACGACGCAGGCGGCGTTCACTACAACAGCGCCCCTGTGGGGCAGGTTGGCTGAGAGCTCAGCTGTGCGGCGGAGCAGCACTCGAACCCAGGACTCGCAGTTGCACGCGGTTTCAGGGCTGCGCAGGACGGTTGAGTTGGTGCTTATGCGGCGCCAAGTGCGCAAGTGGGTTGCACGCCTCTCGGGCGTCCCTGTTTCACCAAGTAGGAACATTCAGGTCCCAACTTAAATAGCCATTTTAAGTTGTAATTAACTAAGTAAGAGTTTTATGTTCTCCAGTAAAAAAAAAAAAAGAACAACTGTGTTAGGTCTGCACAAAATGTTCCTGTAGTCTGCAATTTCTTTTCTTTTCTTTGGAAATCCATTCCTACACCCACACCATTCCAAGGGTGTTCATCCAAAATTGTGTAGCTATAGCAATTAGGTATTAGCTACAATTAGCTATACAATTTGGGATGAACACCCTTGGAATGGTGTGGGAATAGGAATGGATTTCCAGAGGAAAAAGTGCAGCCTACAGGATTCAGGAGCACCACTGAGGGCACAGATAAACCTTCCAGTAGCCTCAAAGACTCTCTAAAAGGAGGCAAATGACCAGCTGTCTGCAAGGAGTATCAATCCTTTCACTTCCCAGTGTCCGGTCAGAGCTGAAGAAGCTTCTTGAATGAGAAGTGAAACGTCTTTGAAGAAAAAACAAGGAATGCTAGTTGCCTCCTGAAAAAGCACCTTTGGGATTCCTTCGAAGTATTTATCGGAGGGGGGAATGGCTTTCCTGAGAATCCCCTCCTACCCCATGGCCTTTCTGTGCCCACCCCCACCCCCTGGCCAGCCTTGCTAGGTGAACCTCTGTGTGGGGGAGAAGGTGCTGGCCCAGATCTGCAGTGGCCGGGTGGGAGGGAGGGGGCAGAATATGAATTGGCCCATTTTCAGAATGTTGTAGAGGAGCTTCAGCAGGACTCTCCTTTAAAGGAGGCTGCTGCTTTAAATGGGCAAAGCTCCACTGGGATCGCCCACCACTAGTCAGGCCTCCTGGGAGAAGAAAGGCCGATGGAGGGATATGGCTTTCTCTGCCTCAAGAGCTTCTCCAGGACAGATGCGGGCAAACCTCCTCCCTACGGCTGGCGGAGGAGAAGGCGGGTCTGGGTCACATCGCCCTAGGTTCTTCGCTGGCAGCCAGTCCAGACCACAGACCGAATTAGCACAATTTGGAATGTGTAGCGTCTTTTTGCTGCTGGTGGCAACAGCCAAAGATGAGCAGAGTTTTAGGAAGTTCAGTCTCTTGGCAGCCAGAAGCGGCGGCGGAAAGCCGGGTGAGAGGAGGAGACAGGAGTAAATCCTCGGTTTTGGTCTGCAGCAGTGACGTGCGATGAGCTTCATGGCCGGTGAGGCAAGTGCGAAAGCCCCGCCAAAGCCCCGGTGCCGCATCCGCCATAGAGCGGGACCCTCACCGGCCATGAAGCTCATCGCACGTCACTGCTGCAGACCAAAACCGAGGATTTACTCCTGTCTCCTCCTCTCACCCGGCTTTCCGCCGCCGCTTCTGCCTGCCAAGAGACTGAACTTCCTAAAACTCTGCTCATCTTTGGCTGTTGCCACCAGCAGCAAAAAGACGCTACACATTCCAAATTGTGCTAATTCGGTCTGTGGTCTGGACTGGCTGC